ATCCACTTGCATGTTTGTACATGTTGGCAAAGTAGTGGATTCTCCACATGATGAAGGGTGATTAAAATCTGGCCAATAGTATCCAGCTATTTACGCACTGATTAGCAGAGGGTTCTCCCAGTATCAAAGCATATCCAAAGGCTACCTGCTCAGTGTTTTCTCTCATCACTTCGTTAAGACATCTTTCTATGCCAATATATCATTTCCCCACCTCTTCTCCCCCTCCCCCCGGTCATCTGTTTGTAATATAGAGGAATGCAATTTCTGGAGAACGGCAGGCACATCTCAGCTTCCGAAGACTGCTGCCATGAACTGCAGAGCCGACAGAGTGTCTTTGCTATTTTTATAAGGGCTGTTTTCCCCCATTCTCGTTGGAGCCCTCTGGATCCCATCATTTTCTCTTGGGTTACAACCCTTCATCCTTGAGGCCCATATCAGAGTCCATCCTTCTCCCTGGGAGCAGGACGCCCTTGAGAATCCACCTGTGCCAGCTCTCAATGAGCCAGAGAGGTCACCCTTCTTGCTCTCCCAACCTTTGGGACAAGAGACCAGGAGTGGGAGTTGACCCTGGGTTTGTAGCCTGGCAATACTGTGCATTATCCCTATCCAAAAGGCCCCCCCTCCCTTTCAGAGCAATGGCTTTCAGTGCGTGGGTTATTCTGCAATCTTAGTCCCTTGGTGTTATGAGAAGACAGAGACAGACATTCCTAGACCTTAACAGATGACAAACAGGAGTTTCGAGGTGAGTTAGGGTTTCCTGCATAACTCTAGATAACTCAGCATGCACAACATACAGCATACTGAGAGGAGACACAAGAGAACAGGCATGCAATTAATGAATGACAGATCTTGTAAGCCCCTACTCCCCTGAGTATTCCTTAATCCCAAGAATAGTCCCTCTGATGTCAATGGGATTATTTGGGAGAACGAGGATTGCTTATGTGATTAAGTGCGACAGGATTGGCCCCTCACATGGTAATACTTGATGGTTGACAATAATTAAGGAACCAGTCTTGTCACTGCTCCTCATGTGGAATTCTCATTGACGTCAAGGGGATTTCTTCACACAAGGAAGGCTGCAGGATTAGGAATTACAACCATTGTTTTTTTTAAAAAAACCCATCTGTAGACAAGAAGGCCCACCCCAGGCCTTATTTGCTAATAAAATAACAATGCTGCCTGCCCCTTGCAGATTTGTGTACAGGATTTTATTAATAGGAACCTGCCTGACCTGCAATGGAAATGAAGGAAAAGAGGCAGAATTCCTGATTGCACGAGGTGTGGCAATGTTAGTTTTAAGTAGAGATGAGCATGAACCAGGACCGCAGATCCAGCCCCCTTCTTGATCCCTATCAAACTTTCAGAAGCTTAGATATGGACCCTCTACCAGATTTCAAATGTCAGGGCTCAGGCCCATCTTTAATTGTAAGGAAAAATCAATATCAGATTGGCACGACATCCCATGCAACTAAAAAGGGCCCAACTTTGCCTTCATTGATGTCAAAGTTAACACCTCCCCTGGACTTCAACTGATCAGCCCCCAATGACTTCAGCCCTTGCATGCACAGCCCTTGCTAGCTCAGGTCCCCAGCATAGCCAGAATTACTCCTCTGTAGAGCATTTTCAAGAAGATTTATTTTAAAAGGCATTCTCATTCTGACAATGAAGGAAGTGGAAAGATATTTTTAAAACTGATTAATTTGCAGACAGGACATAAAATGAGCAGAAGCCAGCAAATGCCATGCCGTTAAAATCTCACTTTTTATTTTTTGAAATCTCAGTGGTTTAGATAAGCATGGTGGCCTTGTTAAAACTGGAAGCAATAAAACATCAAAGTAGTACACATCTTACCGGGTCTGTCCTCTAAACGTGGGCTCTTAATCCTGCAGTCCCATTGGGCTCGATGGGAATTTTGCTTGAGTAAGGGACTGAAGGATAGGATTGAGCCTATCACTTGGCATTTTGGGACTCTGAAAAAATAGCTATTAGGGGTGATGCCTCATTTTGACTACAGGAGGTGCTGAAGGACATCGGGTGGGTTATGATTGTCCTTGTTTTTAGTGGCTTTCATCACAGCAGTTGACATTCTTGGTTTTATTGTCAATTTCTTAATCAAAGAATTTGATCATTCAAAAAAGGGAAATAGGAGAAGATTATCTGAAGAAGTGGGCTGTAGTCCACGAAAGCTTATGCTCTAATAAATTTGTTAGTCTCTAAGGTGCCACAAGTACTCCTATTCTTTAGGAAGTTCACAAAAAAACTATGCTCCAGGAGTACAGGTGTTCTATGATTGGTTTCACTGCAGAACATAAAGGAGGTTGCCTCATGTCAATGAGAATCCACGAGCAACTCAGATACTCTACATGTCTGCTGTGTAGAGAATTTTCTGAAGATAGTTTTAAGCTGGGTCTCTTTGGTGAGACTTAAGCTGCAGGTATCCTCTTTCCTCTCCACTCAGGACCATTGCCTGTTCTTTGTCCTGTCTCCTGGATCTTAGCTCAGCAAGTTGATCCTGCTCTCAGCTAAGAAAACCACCACTGCTGTGTCTCTTGCAAAAATTCTGCACACCCACAAAATGTGCAACAGTAATTAGACCTACTCTACAGAGGAATATGTGCCTCGCCTGCTTTTCTAAAAGTTAGACTGAGATCTTGGGCCATACTCAGAGATTGCATCTTCTGCACTCTGGTCCCTTACCTGATGTTCTTCCGGTTGTGCTTGGTGATGAATGACGTATGAACACCGCAAAAGGTATAGAAGTTCAGTTAAGCATCAAAGGGACAAGTTCCAGCCTCAGATGTGCACATGCAGTTTTTGGTCCTGAGAATTTAGCTGCTTATTATCCAAAACCTCACCTGAATCTTTGTCTTGAAATCAGTTTGCAAATCTCATGAGAAGAGACTTTTAAACAAGTCAGATTAACAATAGTTAATACCTGCCCAGTAGATTAGTGCTTTTCATCCATGGTGCTCAAAGTTACTTACAACCACGAACTAATTCCAGCAACATTCCTACAAGGTGGGTTCTATTGTTACCATTTTAAAGCTAGGCAAACTGAGGGTCAGAGAATGTAAGTGATTCAGTCAAGATCCGCAATGGAGCCAGAGGCAACTATGTGAATTCAACCCAGGAATCCTGACTCCCAGTCCGAAGCTCTAACCTCTATACTCTTCTGCCTCTTTTTCCAGCACTCCGTGGTAATGGTCAGGTCAGAAATACCATAAGAAAAGCCTCTCTCATGACATTTCATTGTTAATGCTTCTGGTGCTGATTGAAATCAAGATCAGTTAAAGGCAACATTTGAGATAGAAAAGAAAGACGGTTAGATGAGCTTTTCCAAACTTCACGGTCAGGGTCAAAGGTGCGAACTATATAAACAAGTTTGCTCACCCCTCATTCTGATGCCCATCCTCCTGTGCTCCCTTGCACACACAGAGCTCTCCCCTGAAAGGTTTGTGCAGGCTCGTCCCATTCTTCTCAATGACACTAACAGCTTAGGGCTCAGTTGTGCCTGACACGCTCAGACCCGCCTTGCGAGGGGAGTGGAGAGGCACCACCTCAGGGAGGGATTGTGTAGTCCCTGCTAACACTCCTGGAGCACAGCACCCCCAAGGGAACGGGGAAGCCCCACCCACCTACACCTGTGCACCCCTTCCAGAGCTGCCAGGGGCATAGTGGGAGTGTGCCTGCTGAACTATTCCTTAGGATGGTGCAATGAGCTCCCTCCTTCCCACTTGACTAGTTCTGCTAGCTAGTGATGCACAGAGGTTGGTGTGGCCTGCAAGAAGGGGCTACAATCATGCCTGGACCCTGCTGAGGCAAGGGGGCACAAAGTGGGGCAGTCACTTTGTGTCCTCCCCCCACTGCAAACTTGCGCAGGGGGGGGTGGTGGTCCAGGCACAGTCTGGCCTTTAACCTTGGAAGGTTTGCTCATGTGCACCTTTCCTGTTCCCAAATAAAGCTGCCCACACCTAAGTAATGTTCCTAGCATGGGCTGCTAAACCTGACCAGCCTAGTAAGCCACAAAGTGCTGCTCCTCCCCTTCCAGTACAGTGCTGCTGAAGTCTGTGTAAGTCTAGCATATGGACTACTTTGATAACACAAGCCATGAGTAGGCCAGAGTGTGGCTGCTTATATGAGGTTATGTCTAGTCACTAGAGCTGGTTGAGATTTTTTTCTTTGAAAAGGGGTTTTTGATGAAAAAAAAAGACTTTTTGAGTGATGCGTTCTAAATGTCTGGATGTTTCGTTGAAATGAAAAAGCTGGTTTTGATTAGAATCAAAGTGAAAGTGGTTTGTTTTTTCCTTCTCTTTCCCCTTTTTTTCATCCCCCCACTTCTCCAATGGGGGGGGGAGGAAGAGAAAGAGAGGGGGAGAAAGACCCCAAATTTTCACTTTACTTAAAAGCAAATGGAAAATTTGCACTTAAATTTGTTTCAATAAGAAAATTAAAAATTTCAGCACACATTTTTGAAAGAAAATGAACTTTTTCTTGAAACTGTGCATGGAAGAGGTTTCAGATTTTTTGACCGGCCCCCTTATTCAGAATGACATACAAAGGCAGCTTGCAGGAACATCACAGTGAAGAGGAGAGGAAAAGCCCCTAGGATATCAGGACAGACAGGATGAGAACTTGGACCAGGAATGGGGTTGTCAGCGTAACTCTTGAGAGTGCCAATGAGATGGATTTTGTGAATGGGTGACAGGGCACACATCATGTTGAAGGGGGAAACAAATTGAGGAGAGGTAATAGTGACCATATTTTTAATAAAACCTGGATTAGTGAATAGCTAAAACCCTTTTTCTGAATTTTCATCTGATCCCAATAGAAGTCTGTGGTGAACCTGGGTATAATTTTCAAATGGGACCCTAAAATAATACCTTCACAAAGTTTGCTCATATAACAACATTTATGCACACAAATCAGGTCACTGTGCATCTAATCACCCAATTTGCAGGTGCAATGTTACAGGCAGGGTTGAAAGTCTGGCCCTTAATCTGTTTGCATGTTAATGGAGTATCAGGGTTGGTTTGTTTCAGTCTGCTTAACATGCAAACTTCTCAAACTTCATAAACAAACTTTATTTTGTGCTAACCCTCAAAAGGCATCAGCCCAGGTTAGGGACTAAATACATCCTTAATACTGATTTTAGTAAGCTTGGCCTTATAATTTCTGCAAAAAAAGAACACCTGAAATTGGAAGACTGTTCTTCCCTTGAACTACTATTTGACCACATTTGTTCAGTCTTTACAGGAAACCCTCTGAAAGAGAAAGAGGGGCTAGATTCTCAGTGGGTCAGAATCCTTGTAGCTCCATAGACTTCTTGGCATCTAAGCCAATACTCATCAGCTGACAACCTGGTTCCAAGCATCTGTAGCTATCAAGTTCAACACAAGACATACAACAGATCCTCAGCTGGTGTAAACTAGCCTAGCTCATTTGGAGCCACACCAGATTGCACCAGATGAGGATCTAATCTGTAATGTCTGTTGAAACGATCCACCTCTGAAAATGTGGAAAGCATCGGAAGTAACAATAGATTGAAATTACTATTTTATGACAAGGTGGTTAATTAGAATGGTTTCAAAGCTGCTAACAGGATTACACTTTAAATGCATACATGAATATTATTACCATTGAACACTGCTATCAGTACTGAAAACGGAGAACATAGCCATGGAGAAATGCTTGGTCTGGCTTTTCAGTCCCATTTTAAAGCCAGCTCCTACTTTAATTGAACGAGTAAGATAATACTCAGAAAACAGGTACCAGTACAAGCCCTGTTCATAACATTGTTTCAATGAAGCTAAGTAAGATAGACTTCAAATAAACCTGGTTTCAGAGTAACAGCCGTGTTAGTCTGTATCCGCAAAAAGAAGAATAGGAGTACTTGTGGCACCTTAGAGACTAACAAATTTATTAGAGCATAAGCTTTCGTGGACTACAGCCCACTTCTTCGGATGCATCCGAAGAAGTGGGCTGTAGT